CTCTGCCTAGTTTGGGATCAGACTGCCGTGTGTGAGATGTGCAAATTTAGTGTTATTATTTATATCAACTGCCCAAAGTAGACGCTTTTTAAAATATATTTTCTTTAATGTGGAATTTACAATAGACACATTGTACCAAACCGTATGTAATACAGCGTTACATTTACTTGCTATCGATGATTAACTCTTATAAATTAAATAAGTAAGTCAACTTTTTATCTTTATTAATCACGATTGAATTCATACTGCGTCACATTTTAATTTTACATGTGATTGAATATCCACCCCACATATATGATCACACACGACTGCATATCTGCGTTAATCATTATCACACTAATGAGTACTCTATGTGTGTTTCCTACGACATCTAAAAAGCCGTATATCTCACACTATTTTGATAGCCTGCAGATAGACATGAGCATTTTTCGTCGGTGCACCACTCACTTGTTAACCTTAGACTTCATCTAACTTGCTTGTAGTGACACTTCCTTCCTTCTTAGTGGATTCCAACTATGTTAAGAAACATTTCAATGATAACTTTTTGTTTGTAAATTTGCCACTCTGCGCTTGAAATAGGAGGCATCCGGGTACAGCCATTATATCGGCACTTTCTTTTTGAGGTATATTAATGAGGGATTTCAGTTTTTATTTACTTAACTACAGAGATAATACGAATTAGTGTAGCAATCCTTAATTCCTTACTCAAATATCTATATACCTCTGACGTGTTATTAAAAAATCTGTTTATGTGAACAATTAAAGACATATTTAGTAGTTTAATCTTTACTCAAACTCTATTGCAGTTAAAATACGTAATACAAAAATATGATATTTACAAACTACATTAGATATTATAAAATGTTATACGGCTCTTTATTACATTAATAATATACTTGAGACATATAAAGATTATAATTCTTGGTCTTTAAGATCTACACTAGATAATATTATAAAGAGGTTTATCTTTTTAGAATATTAGTGTGAAGACCCCCATCAAAACTCATAAACTTTAGTTAGTAAATTTATGAGGGGTCAGTACACTAATCTTTATTCTCTAAAACTACTTATCCGATTCCTAAAAAGAGATAAAAGCTAAATTACCGCCGAATTAGAAAACTTATTTTTGTTAAAAAATATTTACTGTTAGATTTGAAAATAATATATAATTTATATGAAAATTATTTTGCACCACTCTGTAAGCTTTTAAAGTAAGTGTACATGTGTACAATATGCAAAATAAGTGCAGAAACTTAACATTATTAAACTATATGTACTCGTAGTATAAAAACTTATACAGTTTTTATACTACATATAGTTTAACACTATGTGATAATGTTACACAGCGTTACAGATATTCAGTTAATATGTTGACCTGTCAGGGTACAGAAAGTATATATGTAAATATAATTACCAGGCTATCGCTTTTCCACGTTTAATTTAAGTCGAATAATACTGACTGTTCAGTCTTTTTACTTGTGAGCGCTGCGCAACTTCTTTAAATATAAGCAATTAAATGTATGGGCAAAAAGTATGTAATGTCATACGTATAGAATATATTTAAGGCACGAAGTAAAGTTTGCAAATAGTTTAGAACTTTCCGATATGAAATCTTTTAAATAAGGATTAATCAGCATATTTTTATACCAAAATCCTTAATAAAATAAAGAAGATTAAAAAGTAAAATCCGAAAGTTTAGAGGTGTTTGTTTTTTTAGTTATGATATGTTTGTCATTAAGTTTACTTATTTATTCGTTTAATTGCACATATAAACTTACTTATTAAGAAAATTGTTCTTCATTTACAACAAAAGTAATTTTAAGCAAATAACACTTCTAAAGAAAAACAAAGTTTTAGGTCAAAGAAAGTAAGAGCATTTGAAGTATTTTCTTATGTCCATTACTATTATTGTTATCAGCTGTCTTAGCCATAGTTTACATTTAATCTTATAAAAATTATATGAATTATATTAGGCAAACAGAAACAGATTATTTTGATACCTACGTGTCAGTCAACATTTTTTTTCATATTTAATTGCATTACGTCATGAGAAAACTTAAATATTAAAGAAGGGCACTAAAAAATTAAGTTTTTTAGAAAAAATAAAATTACCCATTTACGTTTGATTTTTTAATATTTAGCTCGATCGAGCCCCTTTATGCAACACACCCACCTACAAATATCTACAACAAACCAATTAGCGTAACTTGGATACTAATCTGTCTTCCATAAGTGGTTAATTTACGAGCATCGTGATTTTGAACAGGACCAATTCACACCACGCCTTCAGGCAAACATTGTATCACACGACTCATTATTGTAATGTAAACATGGGACAAATAAATTAGTCGTGATATCAAAATAAACACCTGTTGTAGGTGACATTTGGATTGTTCCGTAACAGGCGTAACTGCCTGGGTTATTTTTGTTATGATGCTAGCCGACTCCTCCTTCCATAATTATCGACTTGTTGAAAGTATCTTAGATGTGCGTGTATATCCATAGGATAGTACTGTCATCGTGTTGATAAATAAAAAATGAAACAATATGTTCATTTCTGTATTGGTTTTGTGTCACTATACAAAATCGACCTGTCCTGGTAACTGTCGGATTAAGAATACGGAGTGTCACTACCCCTATTCATCCCGTCCTTGACGTGAGAGCCGACTAAAGGAGCCACTATGCAGGACAACAGCACTGCAAAGAGAAGGAAAACTTGAGAAAAAAATCTAAACCAATCAGTTTCCGTCGTCGTCAACCAAACAAATTGTTTCAATGTAACAGTTTAGAGATGAAATTACATTTTTAATAATGAATTTAGTTCTAAAACCGGCAAAATGAATAATGTATTGAAAAAACTCTTAGAATTTTACAGCTTCGCTATTGCTCTGAATACTCAGTTAATAATAAGTAGTCAGACGCGACTTCTAGGTGTAATGAATAATAAATTGAAACAGATGAAATATTGCTTAAACTTATGCAGAAAGTGCAAACTTCTTCTCACGTGATAGTTTGAAGTAAACTAATTAATTATTGCCTGGGTTATGACATGACGTCTTAATTTCTTGGTTTCTTTAATTTGAAATGTATTTGCCAAGAATAGGATGTATTTTTCTTATTCAAACAGGATATTGCATTAAATATGTAATTGACTGATAATTTGATATAGCTAGCTCAACTTATTTTAGATGTTATCTATCAATTCGTCAATTAGAAAGATTTTAAAACTCGAACTCAAAGAGGTTTTCCGCGATTATCATCTCAACGTTAAATAAATATTGATGAACATATACAAGGAAACCGTAGATATAAAATTCATCAAAACATCATTATGAGCTTTTCAGAATGAGACGTTGCCATAGCATTTATGCGACCTTCGTTCAGAAAATGTTCGAGTACAAGGAATTAGTGTTGGTAAAAGATACGCATTAGCGTTTCAATTCGCACACTATCAAATTAGCTATTTTAATGTAAAGGCTAGGGTAAACGCCATTTTTTTCAAAAGTATAGGACGTTCGGAAATCAGAGAATATGTTTTTTAAGTATATAATATATAATAAATAAATAAATAATCTAGTTCATATTGACACTTATTGTAGCTTTATGATGCCATCGGTGTAGAACTTCTGGAGTTTATCGTCCCAAAACTTGACCAAGTGATTTTCAGTAACACTTTGGTCATCCAATTTTTTACCATCAAGAGAGTTATGCAGAGACCGAAACAAATGGTAGTCAAACGGTGCAGGGCGGATGCATGAAAACTTCCAAATCACGTTCTGTTAATATATTTCGAGTCATCAAAAATATACATACCAAATGCAACCGGCTAAATATATAATATTTGGCCGGTTGCATGGGTATTTAAGGCCGGTGTATTTGCGGACATTTTTTTTAAAACGAGCAACAAATTGGAAAACTGTCTTCACAAAAATGTAAACTGAACCGTTTCTATTTAATCACGTTTTTTTGTGGCAATAGTAATAGTAATACTATATTGAAATATGTTATATGTTTAAATAATATAATTAATATCTGTAAAAAATAAATAAAGATAATAATAATATTTATTTCATGGCAAAAAACTGAAATTAAAAAAATAAATTGTTACACTTGAAGGTGCATCTCATAATATACACCATTCATACTACAGCTATAAGCATATATATATATATATATATATATATACTAAAAAACTACAATGCATTGTAGCTATTACAGAATACTTCAAATATTTTTACATTCCAAGATTGAAATAATCATGATCCTATTAAATCGATATCACAAGAAGGTAGCAACATATACATGTCATCTAAATCCTACATTACCGGTAAAATAAACGAGAAACTGCGTGGATTTCCAATATATATTTTCAATAAACAATTGATGTTCGGGCTACTCGAGAAACGCTTAATCTTATTTACATATCCTTGTTATTTGAATGATAATTGCTACAAATACAATGCTGCAAAATATTGAAATAAAATATTAACTTACGTGGCGACATAATAAACTAGAGATGAACAAATGGACATAAAATATTATTATTGTTAGACATTGACTTGTTTGACGCCTGTGCATCCTACATAATGACAATCGTCAGTGGCTTGTGGTATGTTAGCATTTCATTACTCTAAGTATATCATAATCCCGTAATCTTATGTCATAAAGTGTAACAATATATAAGATGTTGACTAGATAGTATAGCCGTGCAATCCAACACCATAGTTAATCCTGAAGAAACGTGTGCTAGGTGTTTAAAAATTAGATATATTTTTTGCTGTCATTGGTACATTTATTCCTTACTAGTCAGTTCAGTACTACATCCTGTAGCTTTGATAACGTCAACGCAGGCACTAACTAAAATTTGTTTTCCATAGCCATCTGATAATTTCCGATATAGAATCTCGCGATACAATTATACAACGTTTAGCGCGTCGTTGTACCGGGCGGGCACGAGAGAGTTAGTCGTGACTGAGACATTATCGCGCGCGATGCTTCAGGAGGCTACCCACTGAGGGATGGAAGCGCAGACGGTTCGCTGCTAGTGAGTCGAGCGCACGACCACCACACCGCACCAGTAACCATGCACCACGACCCAGAGTCACCCACATGCCGCGAGGAAACACAATTACTTACAGATGAGTGGCTTAAAGTAAAGTCTGTGGCGGGAAATGGAAATCTTTCCCCTGGTGTCTACTACCCGACAACAGGCAGCAAGAGGTTCGTCGACGCAAGTCACCCTGTGCCGTCTCAAACAGATTCACACCCGTACTGTATCTGCTTTTGTCCGTTTATTTGCTTTTAAATGTTCTCCTTTTTGTTAAATGTCGTGATCACTAGAAACGATTTATTTAAATTAGAAAACCTATGTATTAGACTTAGAATATTACCCATATTAGCAATGATGAAGGTCGTTCTCATTGCTCCGCGCTTCATTGCAAGCGTGAACTAGACATTCACACTTCCAGCTCCGAACCGGATAGGTACCTAACAAGTATTATTGAATTCGGATAAGAATAAATATATGTATATTTTTTTGCTTGTTTTTAGGAGCAGATCTCATAGACATGGCGTAACGAGACGGGCGAGACGACGAGCCGTTCTTAAAAATGGAGAGTGCAATATACTCAAATCCCGGATCTCTCAGCGGCGGTTGAGATTCCTGCAGGATATGTTCACGACTCTCGTGGACGCACAATGGCGATGGACATTGCTAGTTTTCACACTCTCGTTTATTTTGTCTTGGCTTGGATTCGCTCTCATCTGGTGGCTGATTTCATTTACACATGGTGACTTAGAGCCTGACCACCTACCGCCTATGCAGGAAACTTCAAATTGGAAGCCGTGTATCTTTAATATTCACGACTTCACCTCGTGCTTCCTGTTCAGTATCGAAACCCAACACACTATTGGTTACGGTTCACGAACAACAACAGAAGAATGTCCAGAAGCAATATTTATTATGTGTCTGCAGAGTATTGTTGGTGTAATGATTCAAGCCTTTATGGTGGGCATTGTATTCGCTAAGATGACAAGACCAAAACACAGAACACAAACACTTCTATTTTCTAAGTTCTGCGTTGTATGTCAAAGAGACGGCGAACTAAGTTTGATGTTCAGAGTGGGCGACTTGAGGAAATCACACATTATAGGAGCTAGCGTGAGAGCTCAACTGATAAGATCTAGAACGACTAAGGAAGGAGAGGTATTGTCACATTACCAAACTGAACTGGAGCTAAATGCTGATGGATGTGACAGCAACTTGTTTTTCATTTGGCCGATAACGATGGTACACAAGATAAACGCTGACAGTCCGTTCTACGCGGTTTCCGCCGCTGATGTATTGCAGGAGAGGTTCGAGATAGTGGTTATTTTAGAAGGAACGATAGAATCTACTGGACAGACGACACAGGCTCGTTCGAGTTATACGACAAGTGAAATAATGTGGGGACATAGGTTTGTCCCGCTGGTGACGTATAATCGTGAACGGCAGGGATACGAGGTAGATTACTCGAAGTTTGACGAGACATCGCAGGTGGACACTCCTCTATGTTCAGCCAAGGAGCTGGATGAGTTCTACGGCAGTCAGGGTGATCATAGATCGATCGGTGAGTTTTTTTTACGACTTAAATATGGCTTTAGGTGTGGTCGTGGTGGTTGGGTTTATATACCAGATGTTAGTTAATGTTTTGTATGTTTGTATGTATTATTGTCTTAAAATGTATTTGTATTAGACAATTATTATCTATAATTATTTTTATTATACATTATGGGCATAAGACTGTTTTAGTTTTTTGACTCTATAGGTAAAAATAGAAACATAATTGCAATAAGTTTTCAAATGCTTTCTATTAGTAATAGATAAAAATGTATACTTCACAAAATAAGGTATTAATTTCAAGATCTTTTATTGTTCTAAAACATACTTATGACGTAAAATATATAGCAATAAGATTTCTTGTACCGCTTCCGTTATGTGCTTGGGGTATTGTAATAGTTATAATGAACAATATTATTTATCTAGGGTCAACATACGAAGCTCTTATTTACTCCTTCGCATGATAAAGACTAATTTATTACAGGATTTATTGCGTGCTACACAGTTTTTTGACCTACCTATTGACACCATATTATTACACGAAGATATTTTTTTATAAATATCTTAATGTGTTGGTGAGAATTACAAACTTATCATTTGACAACTGAAAACTAAGTCCGCTTATTATCGTGTCCTTGAAATATGAAAAAAAAAATCACGTGGCTGCGGGGCTTCTTATGTAGCAAAATTTATAAAATTTCGTAGATCTTTGGCACAATTTTTTTTATGCAACTGATAATACACTATTAATTTAATGATCAGTAAATGAAGAAAGCAATTACGCTATTGGTGTTGTTCACTATATAATATTTCAATTGCTGTAACATAGGTACAATATTAGTCGTTCATATTTTAATATAAATAAAAAAAACAAATAGTGCATATTAATAATTATATATTTTCTAAATAAGTCTGCCTAAAACAGCTAAAAGTGTACTCTTCTTAGAATACTCTGTATGTTTATAAATGATGTCGGTAAAGTTAAATATGTACATATTAATCCATCAACTTTATAAAAAAATTTTTTTTAAGATATTCATGGAGCTAAGCTGCCATTCTTTAGTAATATAAATTTCAAATAATTTAGTGGCTCTTTGATTGTTTAAAGATTTTTTTAAATCAAATTTAAAGTATGAAATAAAAAGTGATAACATGAAAAATATTGAATGATCTGCTCTGGGTCTTCAATTTCCATTTATTAGGGCAATATCTGCAGGTATTCTGATTACCCATACAAAATGCTTTTATCATTGTATAAAACGTACGTAGATATATTAATTAGCAACAGCCAATAAGATCGCCAGTTACCATTTAGCGTTGTACGTCTGAACGTTTCCGAGTATCAATTATTTAAATTACCACAAAGTATGCTTAACAAAATTGTGTAAATAATGCTAACAAAGTTTTAAATATGTGTTAGAACCTCTTAATATTAATTTTGACATTATTCGTAATTATTAGAGACACACACGTGCACTGATGACTAAAGTACGTAAACGATTTCAATAATAATTGCAGAAAGACTGACAGTTTATAAACAAACTTAATTTTATTTTATATGAATCATAGATAACTTTGTTTTAGGTATCGCATAACAGTTCATAAAACGTGTAATTTGTTTTTCTACTGATAGCATTGCTATCGATGTATTAATATGAGACATTTATTAATCCTTGTATAAATTTAAAAAGATAAAATGTAAGAAGGTTTATGACGTTGCGTTACGTTTTAAATTTTAATGTCTAAGTCGGTTCCGAGGCATTCGGATAGAACCTCAAGCCAAACTGAACCTGAGTCAAAATTTAATGACCTATTGATATTGAAATCAAAATTTAGAAAAGGACGGATTAAGATTAACCACCACTATTCATGACGTGGGTGTCGTAAACGCTGAATAAGGTAGTAAACTACGCAGGACTACATTACAGCACTACAAAGAGAAAGAAAATTTGATGTAAACCCTATTCTAACCCATTTGGCCAGCGCGGCATAGTAGGCCAAAACCTCCTTTCTAAGGAGAGGCCTATGTCCACCAGTGGACTATTATAGGTTGCTGATAACGATGATGATGAATATTGTTATTAAGTTTAGATTATTTAGTTTCTTTTTTGTCTCTCATTTCATTATTGATAACAAAAACGAAAACAAAGTGTGAATGGTGGTCTTTAGTTCTGCCTATCTGACAACCCCCTTTATTATATATTTCTAAGTCTGATTTGTAGGGAGTGGAATAAGGAGTTGTTCTTGAACTTCCGACGATCTTCTAATAATAATGATTACCTACAGTCGTTGCCCGTCTCAACTATTGTCAAATCTCTACAGGATGTACCATTTTGCCAATTTGTTTCCCCCTTTTTTGATACAGGATACATTTGTTTTATCAATGATTTAAGACAACCATCTGTGTACTGTCGGTACTCCTGTCGGTCCTAACAGTATCTTTTTAAATATTTAAATCACTTTAGAACACACTTAATTAGTAACCATTAATTTAATGCCCCATTCCACGTTCACAAAGCGTAAATATTTTCCAGTATTGTATTACTTAATTACACAGATTTTTTTAATGATAATAATTTGCTTATTACATTTAATACTTTTGAAAGTAGCATGTGTCATATTTTTTTTATTTTGTTCCCCCTCAGAAATAATTTGTTTTGCAGGATTGTGAATTTACGCTGTTTACCAATTGTCCAGATTAGTACGTCAGAACTTTAACGTTAAAGGTTAACGTTGTAAGTTTACTGATTAAAAACCAAATGTGTTATTAGATCGCAATTAACGTTTCTTTTAAGTAGTTAGGTGTTGAGCGACCATATTATGTCATTAACTTTCATAAACTTGACGTCATAAACATACTTTAAAGAGTTAAGGCGAAATATTTTCTTTTATAATAGTTTTATCGATTTAAGTGCCATTCAGATTTAAATAAATTAACGAATTAGTCTTTAACTCTATTTTTAAACTTAATTACGTTATACGTTTTTTATTCATCAGTGTTCAGACATTAGAATAAAATGTAAGCCTTAAGAAAATGTGTAAATATTTATCCAAGGATATTAATTTCTAGTTACTGATATATACTCGTACTCTGCTTTAGCGGCCTAATGGTATCCCTTCTTCAGTAAGTAACATGTATTAGATTAACAAATTTATTTTAAGAAGCGATAATCTAGAAGAATGCTTGTTAAAATTCTGTTAGGTTAATTTGGGGCAGACCTACGTAATATTGTGATATGATTTTTTATTATTTTTTTATTAAAAAAAAAAAATAGGTGAACATAAACCTTTGGAATTGTCTTAATGCATAATTAAGGCATTATATTTTTATTTTACATCGTCAAGAAATAACAGTTCCTGACGTTTTTTAACTTTAGTTTGACTTCACACGAAGTAATTTTAGTAATATTTACATCTTACAAATTAATTTCTCATTGATTTTTGATAAAAATCATTTAGAGTTCAAAATTTAGTTTGTAATCAATATTTAAGCTTGTAACCCTGCCATACCCTGCACCTACATCATAATTTTATTAACCCACTAATATTGAACGACTGTAATAAGTGTCATAAGTATTAAAAACATTTTATTTATTTTACCTTGTATTAGCTTGTAGATTTTACAAAGATTGATATGATGTAGGTGTCTGTGTTTGTCTTTCTTATCAAGAAAAATACATTTACGACTGACCTTAAATCTAATCTTACCTTGTACGTCACATTTTTTGAAATACTCATAACTAGGTTAAGTGCAAAATATTCTGAATCCGTAGAAAACATTCCATAGGCATGCCTAAATGATGTAATGACTGTTTAGAAACAGTGGCCTCTTACGAATCATTAGATAAATTCACACAGGTACTCACACTTGCCACAATAAACAACACACAAAAATTAACAATATTCCTAAATAAATTTGTCGGATCGACGTCTCTATCTATTTATCCGGATCTATTTCAAGATGATAATTTGGATTAGGTACTTATCCGTTTCTCCGTTAACACCTTATTGCGAAAAACAGCGTTACGTGGCCTATTTGTTTATTAAGTTCACCAATAAATAACATGTTATTTTTATTTATGCTATTTATGCTATTTAAGTGAAACTAAGTTATATGTGATGAACTGACTTAAAGATGTTGTTTTTATACCTAATAAAAACAACATCTTTAATTCAGTTCATCACATATAACTTAGTTTCACTCAAGATATATTTAATCAATTAATAATTAATGTTATCATCATCTGCCTACCCTTTTCCCAATTTTATTTGGGGTCGGCGCAGTATGTATGATTTCTCCTTTCTACTCTGTCATGCGTCATCTCACTGTTTACTCCCTTCCTAGCCATATCCTCCCTGACGCAGTCCATTCACCTCTTCTTCGGTCTGCCTCTTCTCTTGTACCCTTCAACTCTCATACCTAAAACTTTCTTCGCCACATTTTCCTCATCCCTCCGCATGACATGTCCATACCAAGATAACCTATTACTTCTTAACTTTTCATCCAGTGGCGCTACTTTCAGACTCCCTCGTACATACTCATTCCTAACCTTGTCCATCTGAGTCACACCACACATCCATCTCAGCATTCGCATTTCTTCTACGTTCAGGCGTCTCTCATCCGTTCTCTTAATAATTAATCTTATGATATGGCAATATTGGTCATTTTTAGCATATAAGCTAAAACAGACATATACATAAGGTATATTAAAATTGATGATCGATGTTGAATTGAAACATTGAATATATGTTTGAATATGCATCATAAATTTAAAAAGAAATACCTTTTTCCTTTGCTCTATATCAAACAAGACACAAAAATAAACAATAATGATAATGATGATGAATGAATGACTACGAAATTGAATTTGAAAAATGTGTGCACTAGTAGTTGTAGCACTATTGATTGTTATCTACGTGTACAAATATAATTGTGTGTGTGTTTGTGTATGTAACACAGAGAGCGGGGAACAACACCTGATGCTGAAGATGCCAACCCATGGTCATGATCAACAGGAGCCCAAAGCCGAGCAAAAGGACGGTGACTTTACAGTCACACTGTGAAATAATTCGTGAAGAAATAAATGAATTGTCGTAGGCTGAATGTGAACTTGTTACCGTTGCCAACACCAGTTTAAAAAATACTTCATGTTGGCAGAGAAACTCGAAAATTAAATTGTTTCAGAAAGTAAATTTACCAAAAGGTTATTGTGACGATATAAACAAAGATTACGATAGTTATGCGTTTGAAGGTCTGATGTTAGGTTACTAAAAATCTGAAATAAATGTTACGACGCCGATGTTTAAAATACATTAGCAATTATTATATAAGAAATTGTTAGGCTATATCAAAGATCTGGTACATTAATTACTAGTTTTGTATTCTGAATTCAAAACCCAGTGCCACTAGTCAGACACATTTACAAATAATGTAGTATTAAAAAATAAATAGAGTTTTGCATGTTGTGTTTTTGTCAATTCTTAACATTCCAAATTGTTATAAAAGATAGTGCAATGTTGATATTAATTTAATATTAGTCTTAAGTGTCGGATGTAATTCACAGCTTAAGAATGTGTCTAAGATGTGATAGTTAAACTTAGTATTTAAAACTTGGTATATTAGTATACTTAGTGTATAAAATACTTATTTCAAAAATGTTACCACGCGCATGTTGTCACGTTAAAGGTGTATTCTGTTGTTTTATGTAAATATTGATGGAATAATTATTTATGTTGTGACGTTGATCTGTGTTTGATTTATGATACCTTAGAAATTCTAGCACTCTATGCAAGATGATGATGCAAGACAGTTAGTATATTATAATACTATACTGTGTTCATGAAACTACTGATGTTTAATTTTCCTTTTTGAAAATTACAATCTGATTTACTGCTAATGGTTAATGTTTCTAATGTTTGATTAACGCTTAGGCATAGAGTGATAGAAAATTCACCCGAAGGTTTACAGTGTGTCAAAAACGCCTTGTGGAGATAATCGTCTGCTTATCTTTGTTTACGTTAAACTTGTGTTGTGATGTCAGAGCTGTGTCGTCTAAATCCTAGCCTATCTTTTGAAACTCAATCTACGACAGACGTGAAATATTGGTCAAGTGGAGTTAAGGAGCTATCCTTATCTTAGTCATTTTCAGCCTAATTCTACTTTATTACGGCTTGACCAATATTTGACTACTTATGTTTGTGGTCATATAGTATTGATCAATAATTAAACTCATACTAGTGATAAGTGGAGAGTTAGGTTAGGTCACAGGTTTTTTACTACACCTGAAAAAGTAGGTTAGTGCTGATGCTTATGAATAATAAGTACAAAAGATGTCAAGCAAAATGTAAGAACTTCTGTAAAAATTAATGAGTTGTGCTTGACTGTACTATTTTAAATTTCGGAGGTAATCGAGAATTAATTTATGAATGTAGTAATACAATAACGTTTTAATAACTTTTGGGGGAAACAAGAACAGGAGGAATCAGCACTAACCCGAAAAAGTGGGAAAAGCCAATTAATCCGTGGTATAGTTACCTTTCCAATCATGAATTGACACACCTACGGTTACGCGACCCCGGGTTCTTCGTCTTGTGGCATAGATGATGCAAGTCTCGGATGGGAACCCTAGCTCATTGTCTCCATTTTCTTTAGTCTAATTTACTTACACATTATGTTGTCCTCAAATAATATTGTTAAGAGAATCGTAAGTGCTTTGCAAAATAAACATCTTTATACTTTGCAAAAATAATATAGTGAGTTCGTAGTGGAAAAAGGTCTTCACCGACCACTAGTATGAGTTAACATTTACTATCTAAACATAGTGTCAAGTAGTGATAGAAGCGTTGAAGGGGTTTTCTTTAAATCAATGTACCAAACAATCGATACATAAATAGTTGCGGGTACCTCAAAATACCTATAGCGTCACGAGAGTGTTGCTAACTTTTAACAGTATTTGGTGGTATTAATAAAAACACGAACAGTGATACTTATTGGCCCTGAGAAGCACAATACTATACTATCTTGTAGTTGCACTAATATGGAAAGCCTCGATAAAATGCTAATTTACAACAAAAACCCGAAATTGTTTTAGTATAGCACTCGATTGAGGCTTTCCATATTAGTGCAACTACAAGATACTATGCTAATGAAATGGCACTATCTTTTAAATAAAGGGTGTAATACAACACCTAAGTAGGTATCTTTTCTTAGGGACTAAACAGCAACTGAATAATGAATACTATATAGGGAGGATAGGGGTACTAGACTCCGGTCTTGGTAAAACATAAGTTAAAACCCAAAGAAAAGTATATTTAGACTACTAAGTCGACAAACAAAATACTCATCTAGGTAAGTAGTGGCTCATGCAAAGGTAAGTGGTATAAATTACTTACAAACTTGCAACATATTATAAGCCACGCGTTGGCAAGGCTTTAGAACTCTTTGACTGTACCTCCTATCTCCTATGGCCCATAGAATATCACGTCAGTAACGCTTAAGAAAATAAATCTTACTCTCTATACATATACATAACTGAATAGCGTGATCGAGTCACTATCAGATAAGTACATTTTTTAATATTAGTCTGGTGAGAATAGTTTCGTCGTATCCATCGCCATCGCTCTCGTAGCGTAAACCTCACCGCTGACTCATCCTGTAAAAAGGATCGAAAGAATTGCTACGTTAAGTACGTAGCACACACATTAGAACTTTCTACCCCTTTATGACGTGAAAACTAACATACATATGTGTGGCATATATAGGTATGTCAATAAAGTATGATGAAGATATTATTTGTCTTTACGGTACTTTATTGATCTTTGTATAAAACGTTCTTGAATACAGCTACTTGTTCTTTGGTAGTTAGTTTTATTATCTATGGACTGCACGGATGGCGTAGTCGTTTAAGCGGTCGCCTTGCCACTTCCTACTGCCATGAGAGTGTTGTAGGTTCGATCCTCACATGGGACAACACTCTGTGTGATCTACAAATTGTTAATCTGAGTCTGGTTGTTCATTGTCTCCGTTTCATGTAAGTTTGTAAAGTCCCCCGCGACATAGGATATATTCCTATTGCGGGAGTTGTTTTTATTTTAAATAAAATAAATTCCGTGGTAAAGTAAACAATGTGCAATACTATGCACATACGGTCCAGAAATTACACTCCCATCCACATTTTTCAAAGAGTAATGTAGTAGCAACCATTATGCTGTGTGCAGCTGATTCATTTTGTGTTCTTGCATTACGATTATAATATTCAAAATGTGGCAACTGATATGTAAAACCTACTGATTCTATTTTTAATCCCAAAACAGGTACTACAGAAATGTCGCTGAAGGAAATAGTCTCTAAACCGTTATATACCCTTACTGACCTAATATTTTATTTGTAATATTAAAAAAACTAAATTCCATTCTCTTACAATAGTGCTACATAACCTTTAATGAATCTGTTATTATATATACATATATATACTAATACCCATATATATATATATCTTATAAACAATAGTTAGCCATAAGGCCTTGAAGGACTTTTAAAAAAAAATATTAACACTTATTTCTTTAAATTTACTCCCCATACATAATTTTGCATATCTATATTCCAGGTTACATGGCTGTCAGCGCATCTATGTCACCTGAATTAACGATGAGAGATTCCTTATCTTCTGAAGTCAGGCCAGCCTTGCGTCTTAATCGTAATACTGATCTTTCGAACATAGCCGATCGGCTTGTAGCAGATGCCCTAAAACGAGTTAGCTCGACACGTCGAGGTTCAGTAATTCCTAAGTACCCTTCCAATTACTTTAGCAGTCCTACTGAAGAATCGTCATCCAGCGAAGAAGAAGAGGCGGCTAGGAAAAAAAAATCGAAGAAGACTGAGAAAGTCTAAATACGATAAGGATATTTTTAGTTTCTAGCTTCACTCATCTTTGTAAATGATCAATCAATAACTATCTAAATCGCACGACTTTTTTGACGATAAAATCAATGTGCGTAGAAAACATGAGTATTAATAATATTTTTTATTTTATTAGAATAAATAGATACCTCTATAAGTATATTAATAACTAAAACAATTATTAGGTATTATATGTTATACTGATTCCAAAATCAAAATTCCTAATTTTCTAAGCCTAGGAAGTAAATTCTTTAAATCGTCATATGATAGTATAAATAAACACATGTCAAATAGTAGATTTATTTTGCCTATTAAATATTGTAACTTTTAGATAATATATGTGACTCTGTATTGAATATAGACGGGACTGTACAACAGCACCATCTAGCGTCGAATAGAAATACCTTTAATGTATCAAATGATTCTATTAAAATATGTACCTCAACTACTCTTATTTTTATTATTTAATGATGGTTTACTAACTGTTCGTGTAAGTACACATACATAACTATATTATTAAGCAAAGGTTAAATAAAAGTCTTGTATATAAGGTATTAAAGTTTTTTAATCTGTTGAGACTGATGAATACTATCAGGAAATACAAAGCTTTGGGCTAATTTATAAATTGGTAGCGCCCGCGCTACACAGGCCCCTGAAATTCACAATTTTAGTATAGGTATGCAAAGATTCCCCAGTGCACGTAGCAAAGTATTGGTTCGCAATGAAACAAATACTTTTATGTTACATAAAAAAATATTTTATTATAATAATAAGCTTTGAGGCGAGTACATAAAAGTACGCCCGCCAATTCTAAGTACTTAGTCCGAATAATTTAAGTATCGAAATATATCACACTTCATTTGCAAATTTAGTATACTTACATTATAATAAAGTACCTTGTGCGATTATAATAAAAGCTCTAAAGCACTTACAGTTCTTTATATGGAAAGCTCGATAAAAAATTTAAATACTTAAACATATTTGCAGTATAAATAAGTATTGAATTTTATCCGAGTAAAGTTAAAAAAAAAAAAAACACTTTATTATACTTTCTTTGGAATTTAGACATGTGGTATTAAGAATTAATGACTAAACAGGGGCCAATTTAATTTTTAATCAAAATTGGGAATATAAATACCTTTTAAATTAAAACCTACTTCCATCTCTAGTTTGACTGTCGATAGAAAAAAGGATACAATATAACTCCTACGGTTTTGTAATCTTAAACACAAACGCGGAGACACGGCTACTAAGATTTTAAAGCTTCATATCATTATTAACTATAATATCTCGAGAACACTAAGAAGTTTTTGCACATAAAACGCATCACAAAGACAATTGTTTGAAAGTTCAAAAAGTTCCAACTCTTTGATGCTCATTGATTGAATGTTATAAAGTGTTTGAAATATATTAAAATATTTATTATGGGAACATACACCTAGTTTTTACAGCATCACACTTGGCTTTGTCAATATTTATTTTATTAATTTTATCAAACTTATATGTCTGGTCAGAGAAAACAAAGGAGTTTTGTTTTTATTGGGTCCCTGTCATTAGTTGTGTTTGTAAGTTCAGTGACTGGCTATCAATCGTTTAGAATCTAAGTACATTTAAACAATTTCAAAAAGGTTTTCGAATTTCATTCTGAATGAATCTTATAAAACAGGCTATCAAAAGAATACATCGGATGTTGATCATTGCTCTTTGTTTCATTTGTTAAGTACATTGCAAATATAACACTAGTCTAAGACCGGTATTGTCTTTGTGAAAGCGTAATATAAAATAACAAAATATTCTTACTGTACTTGAGGTTTAAGCTTGTTGTCTCCGGTCCTACAGTCACTAAAATTAACTAAATAAATACTTGGTCTAAATACAAACCCATCTGGTACATCGATGTCACTTGAAATAAAGTAAGTAGAAATTATAGGATTAGTCTATTTTATTTATTCAAAGGTACTGTATATAGTTAAGACGGCGTTTAACAATTATTAGGTAAGGTATTACCCTATTTAAATATATATAAATAGAAATAAAACTATTTTAAGGGTTACACATACTGTGGTAAGCATTTACGTACCTTAAAGTTAGTTCTACTATATTTATATGTTAAAAGGTTTTGGGTTTATTGTTTCGTTTTATTTAGTTCACTTCTAATGTATTTGATAGAATATAAATCTCAATTCAATAGACTTTGAGAAAAAAATTGAAAGCACTAGTAGGTATTAGATTCATCAGATGTTTTGTTGTATCATTTTAAAATTATATAATTGATTTAGTTTGTTACGTATTCCATCTTAATATTTCTACAAGTCATCTATTTCAGCGCTGATGTTCTCGATGCTCTCGGTGTGTGAGAATCTTACAATCGGGCGCTTGTGTCGAGTGACAACTGACGGGTTGTGGTCATGCAGTGGACGTCAGGCCGGCTCCAATTCCGGTGACGTCACCAGGATGGGGATCACAGGTGTTTTGCTTATGTGGTTCTCGCTTGGCGACCTGAAAATATTCACTTTATGTCATTCTGGTTCTTTTACACAACCATTTTAAGTCTACACAGAAATCAGGGATTCGAATTTTGCTCTTAGATAGGCGTACTTTGTCCAAAAAAATTGTCTTGTCCTCTCATTATTATTTGAGCGAGGTATCGATTATATTATCTTTAGTATGTCAGTATTTATTTCAAATTGTTGGTAAAACAAACTGTACTTTACCATAAAACCATGTGATGTGGAAGGCGCTTAAGAAATGAAATGTTATTAACAAAATTCCACACAAACAACTACATTCACGTATCCACACAAGTTGCAAACGCTCAAAAAACAAAAAAAAAGACAAGCAGACGGACATTTTTATTTTTCTACTCTGAAATTTTTAAAGTACCTTATCATAGAGAGCATTTATTTCAGTGTTTGGTACGATTGTATTCTTATTTTTACTCCTGTATTAAAAATACACAATATTACTAATAGCCAATAAGTAATAAAAAGCAATCTACAAAGATATAACAATAAATATATTGACACAAAGGAAATATTTCCAACTTACTTTTTTAATTTACTATGCTCATCATGCCTATGCTCATGATGGCCATTGCCGGCATGCCCGACCCCATTCGGCATCACAGCATGCACCCTCTTCATACTAGCGTGACTATGGCTTCTGTGCATATGTTCTTTACTATCATGATGCTTATATTCTGAATGATGATTTGGGAGATGATTTCTAGAAATATCTTGGCCGTTCTCGACAGCCAAATGTGTATGACTTGGATTTCTGGACCTTTCATTGATGTGGTGAACGAAGTTATTCTGTGCCATTATCCTGTTTTCGCGGACTCTTGACTCGGGTATTTTGATCTCGATGTGTTCGTCTAAGGACATAGAATCAACGGAGCTAAGGTCCAAGGTGTCGGCGGAGAATGTTTTAGGAATGGTGCCCAGCATACGATCTGCAAGGAAAGAATTAGAATTAAGTGTAACAAATCTAGCTAGTAACGTGAATGATTTATCATGACTCAAATGCCAAATCGATTTGAATAGGTCACTTTATCTATCAGTAGGTGATTTACCGTACAGTTTATGTAAACATTATAAAACATACGATAGTTGGCATCAGTTGGTATAAATATTTTTGTTAGTATGTTCAACATGTTTGCTGTTTTATGTGGCTTTTATTTCCTCAATTAACGTATGGTTCTAAGTACTCGTAACAAACAATAACGATTGTAGAATCCACTAAAGGGATAAAATAATTTATTATATTTAATTAAATTATAATTAAATATTTTTTAGCTATTTAATAACAACTCATAAAGTCCTTTAATATTTTAAATATGGTCACGTGTGCATGACCCGACATTAAATGATTAAACAAAAGCGGTAAGTATAATGCGTTTCAATATTGTCAATATCAGAGTTAGAAATCTTCAGTGACAAGTTTGGGTACCAGTGAGGTAGTTGAGGACATTTCAATAAATTTCTTAAATCTCAAAAGATATTATGCTTGGGGTAGTATTGAACATAAAATTTACCTAATTTTTGTGACGTGGAGACGGTAGCTCGAAGCTCGTCGAGTTGTTTCGCAGAACATAAGGGTGTATCCACTTCGTATGTGTTGTTGAATCTGGTGTAGTCAACCTAAACAAAAAGAATTATATAAAAAACATTAGTAATGATGAATTCATGGGCTAATTATTGTAACTAAGTAACTATTATATATAGATTGTAGTAAACTGCGATCTCTTCCTATTGTTTCATATGAGATTTATATAAGACTCTAATATTATTGCTACTGTCCTCATGTATAATCGTTTTTGTATTGATAGCCTCGATACAGGCTAAGCCTAGTGTGGCTATCATTGTTAAACAAATTTTGTAAATCTTTACTTTAAATAAAAATTATTATTATTATTATTATTTGTAACTATTATCAAGCACTCCTTGTAACGTTAGTCTTATAAGAATGCCGTATTATATAATTCATGTTCCTCCTAAGGTCGAACTATAACCAAGGATTGTGTTTCATTATCATGTAACCGTTAGTGTAAGAATAAAATTGCAACTATAAAATTCCGTCTTTATTAAGTACATAGATTAATAGTAAGTTTGACTTAAATATAACTAACTACATTTTTGTTATTTAGGTGTAAAGTAGGCTGTAGTTTGTGTTTTTAAATATCTTATAGTAATAAAGAACATATTTGTTAAGTTTTGTTCCATTTATGTCTTATTCCATTAAATAAAAATGACTGAACTATAAACTATGTACATATCAGATGAGATGTCACACATAAGTGTGTGTAAAACAAAAACAACTTATGTGAAAAATATTAGAAAATCTTTGGTCATGGTAATTAAAGATATCATAAGGGGTGTAAATTTTCTAGGGTTAACTAATATTTCTTGTAATTAAAAAATTGAGATATATGTATTTTTTTTTCCTCAAGTAGTCATAAACAGGTCCACCATCTGATGCATAAAATTTCTCTGGCTAATCCTGCCAAGAACCCTTCAAGATCTGACGCAGTAGTGATGGGTGACAGTTGAAATACTGTTTATGTTATATACATACATATACAGCTTTTGCAAATAGAGGGTTTATTTGAAATAGCAAATGTTTGAAAGATGTATTAACCACAATAATGAATAAATTTAAACATTTGGTAATGGATGTTGTTAAAACTGTTTTTGTGTGCAATAAACAGTTTTATCTTTATAAATCTTTAGTATGTTTATATAGTAATCACGCGGTTTTAAAATGATGATGATAAAGACACACATGTCGCAATATATTATATCTTGATTTGGTAATTCTGTGAGATATCTATGAGTAACATTGATTTATCACAAAAATTTCAAGACAGAGATCTCCCTTTAAAGAAGGATCCGTCGTTTAAATAACTACTTAAACCAACTTCTAAGCCATATTATACAGCTGAGTTATGTGTATTTGAATATATTAAAATTCCATTGTGAGAGCATCAACACACCAGCTGCAGCAGCTGTCCTCGAATAACTAGAGAGGACGGCTTTTCTAGTATGTAGTACAGTGCACTTACATCCATATATACTTGTCATTTACATACTTTTATCACATCGCAACATTGGATTACAAATGGCGTAAATGACATTGTTTGTAACGTCACTTCACCTTCTTAAAGCGTCGATATGTCAACGTCACAGTAAAATAAGGGCAATTAAAATATAAATAAATCAACGCAGCTTCTATTGTTTCTTATTATTCACTATAATCCTTTTAATAGCGGGTTTTATTACAAATTACATGCAGATTAATACGTGCAATATTACTTCGTCAATGGCTGCGATGACTATTCATAGTTTACGTCATTAAATGATTCATAGCTGACGTCACTCGAAAATTACTTGGGTTCTTTTTAACCGATTTAAAAGGAGGATATACTCGATTCGACCTTTTTTTGATTTGCATGAATTTTTTAAAAGCGTAAAACACGATATTCTTTTTTTATTTGAATGGAATCGACCATTCGAACTCACACTTGGGCTTAAGAACCGAAGTGCTGTGCCTGTTGTTGTAACGTTTATACGTTAAAACAATGTTACAACATTCAAAATAAAAAAAGAATTTACGTTCTGCTGTGACCGAGTGTTTACGAAGGTTTGCGTAAGGTCACCAATATTATTGTCTTGAGGTGATAACCTCGGAAGTAAACCATCTAGTTATATCGGTAATTGTTTAATTTACTCATTTGCATGTACATGTTAAGGTTAGATAAATCTTAGAATTACTCCCATCGCACTGTGTTTTCCATGACATTTGTAAAACATTTAATTTCGATTAAGTGGAATTATTAAAATAAACGAAGTATGCGGCATTCTTTACATTTTATTCAAGATTTTTTAACATTAAAACCAATCTATTGATATCTTAAATTATCATGGAAATATGTAATTTCATGAATAGATTTTGATTGATAGACGTAAAACGTAATATTACCAGAGTAAGGAGTAGTTTTCGATTAAATTAAATCCTACAAAAATGAACGGACAGTGTTAAAAACGTAAAACTTATTAAAAACACCTCTTTTGTGTAGATTTAAAAAACATTAGTTCTAAACTAAAAAACCTTTGAAATAATTATAACTTTAATAAGCCTACAAAATATTAAATTACTTACAATAAACTGTGATCAAACGGAATTGCCAAATGAAATATAAATGACGGAGTTCAGAGGTAACAAACAAACCAAAAAAAAAACAACTGAATTAAGAAATTCCTTTTTTTTGGAAGTCTATTAACAACTTAAATCAATTAAGTAAAGTATACAGTCAATGAATATTCTAATACCTCATAGAATTTACTAAACATGAACTATTTTCATTGTATGTATTAATAATTACTAAGTAATGTAAAGCTTATAATCCTGTATTATAATCCAGCCTATGGCGCCGTCTATGCTTTAATATGCAATTATGCATAGTTTTAAAATAACTTCTACATTCTCCAGAGCATTGCAAAAGCGCAGCTTGCCTTGTAAATATTTTCCTTTCTCATTAGCTAAATATAATTTTGCAGTATTCAGGTAATACGAGTATACTTGGTATACAAACGCACAAGTTTACTAATCCGAGTACTGTCTATAATGATACATTTTTATTACATTAATACCGAATCAATGCCTCTTCAAGCAAATGAGGCCTTTGCAAAATCGGTATAGCCATCATCGGGTATCTTTAAAAATAAAGTTCCGACTAACAGAGAACGTCTTCGTTTTTTGAGGTCAATAAATAGTTAAAAATGTTCCTTGCTTAACCATTTGTATTATAGTTGTATGTTTATATGGTTTTATTAGTAATGTATTCTCGAAATAGACAGCAATGTTAGTTATAATATTTGCACTGAACTTTTCTGACTTTGCCTTTTGAAATCCTTGTTATACCTCAATACAGGTGTTAAAAGTGTTTTTGGCTATATCGCTAAACTGGCATGTAGCAGTTATGGACGTACTACATCAATAGTATCTATTTATGTTAACGCTTTCAATTTAGGTAAAAGTTACAAGTCGATAGTGTACTGGATTGAGTTCAAATTTGCAATTTCGCATTCGATGCGATTTTAAGATAGAAGTCTAAACCCTATGTTAAATCCTTTTTAATATACATTTAACGATGTTCCTATTCTCTTGACCTTCTAAAATAATAATTATATCTGTAAGGATCAATGACCAATCGTAGCAGGTTTTCTAAAATATACTCATAAGCAACTGTATTGTATGTAAATAATAATAACAATAAAACTAACTTGTTTTGTCTTTTTAACATACCTCATATTCACCAGTATCCTTCCTGAATGAAACCATTGTCTCGAACCGATGGCCCCATAAGATTTCCGATGGTAAGAAGCTACTGCGTGCCTGTGTTGTCATACCCGTTGACTCAATCACGCCCTCTGTAATATTCAATAAAAATGTTTGTATATTAATGGCTACAACGACGATTTCAATTTATTAAAAAATACACTAAAGAAAAATACTAAACAATTGCTAAGTGCGACTTTCACGCAAAGGGTTCTGTATTATCGCAAGATTTTAAACACTTCTGTATGGAATCCGGTATCTCCTCACAGAAGTGTTAAATGTTTTAAATATTTTTTTTTTTGAAACATCGAGTTATAGAAATAGCCTCTAAGAAATGTATAATTTTCTGTCTATTGCTATCAATGAAACCCGGATAGAAGTGTGCTCTTTGGGTACGGAAGCTTAAAACCCAATAATTCCTTTAATTTTAGAGTAGGCAGGCGAATTTTAGAGTGCGATTATATTTTTTAATACAACCCGATGAAAGTACATGATTGATTTATAGTTTTATATATAGACGCTACACAAATTCTACATAACGTACACACATACACTACTACTACATTAGCAACTGCTATGTCTACGGAATCAACGGTCAAACATGCATGCTTTAAAAACATGGTACTGGAATATTTAAAAAAAAATATAGATTTTTTTTTTCTAAGAAATCATCTTAGAGTACGGCGTGGGTAAGAAACTATTTATAAGTTTTACTAAAAATCTAACCGTGTTAATGGATGCGTGAGTCATTTTAGTGCGTTATTTTGTCACAAGAGGAAAATTCTAGGCAGCATAGAAAGTGTTTATTTATGCAAAATTTAGTAGTGTCCGTCTTCTGATCTATATTATTATGAAACTGTATTTTGGGTGTCATTTCTTTTTTTATCGGAGCTGTTTACTTGTTTATCCGAGCTTCAAAGGAGTACGAGTTTTAATTAAAAGTTATTTAAAAGTTAAATAAAAGTTAAATGCAAATTTATATACTATTGTAACCATTCTATACAGTTGCACTGTTCTCCGTCTTGGCCTAAATTACGAGTAATGTGAGCAGCATAAACAAAAGCCATACTTACACAATTATGAATCTGTCAAACAGTCTAACAGCTAAGAAATAAAGCTGAATCGAGTCCCTTCCGATAAGAAAACAGCTTCAAATTAAAACACAATCTTTAGAGGATTTCGTTTGGTATGACTTTAATGAATTGGGACACTCTAGCTTATAAATGTATTGAATGTATCTAATGTCTCTGTATCAGTGTATATAATTTTAGGCGAGACAAATGCAATTAAAAAGTTATAATGTCTTCTGAGGAAATCAATTTTGTATTATATTATTGATTGATTTAATGTTCATTATATTATTTTAGTAAATCTTATAATAGCGAAAAACCAAATACGACGACGATTTTAGAGGAAAATCTTGATACTACCGCTGATACTCGTACCAACAGTAGGTACATATTATAGGCATACCTCCTATTTAAAGCGATCATTGACATTGACACCCTGACCTCATTCATTGAATAGGTATTCTAAATTTTATATTTTATTATTATTACAACTCATTAAAACACTTACAAACGAGTGTAAAGTTCAGGGCAATCGACCAAGAGTCTGTCAAGGAAGTGCCAAGAGCCAAACATGTGCGGCGTTACGTAAAATCTACAAACATTTGTGTGATGGTTTCTGGCTAATAGATGTATAAAATTGAGATAATCTATTCTGATCGCCAACATTTGATTTAAACTGACACAAAAACTCACGTGTGATCAAACTATTTGTATTGTGCCTTGAAACTTTAAATAAATTTGTAGCTATGTTATGGCGAACCAAGTCTTCTGTCGCATATATTTTCATTTACGTAATATTTATTACGATCATTCGAGGAACTTGTGAAAAAGAGCATGCACGTGATATGTCGGCACAAATTTTTGAAGCAATCTTTGTAGAGAATTCATTTAAATTCAAAGAAATTTCTATATTTTTTTTTTCCTAATTTTGAAAAGTTCTATTGAAACATCAGACAAGAATTATGTGAGTTATTTAGTAGTGCTGCGATATAGCGGAGTTAAAACCTACAGAATTAAATAAAACCATTGTGATGTCGATAATCCTAATCCTATCCTATCTAATCCTTTTTAGGTTCTAATTTGCAATATTATTGTTTAACTAACAAATATTTAGACTTGGCTTCCTATTTAGGTATCATTATTAATATTCCTACGAGATAAATCAAACGCTGGGTGAGATTAAGTAAGTAAACAGCCGTTGTTTATATTGGGAGGACAATAAATTCTCATTATCAAAACATTATACTCATTTAGCTACTTGGAATAAAAGATGTTAAAAATATATCTGGAGAGTATTTTTTGTTGATTCAGTTCAAGGCTCAAGAAAGCTGCAATTTACTTACCTTATAAAGTACTAGTATGCAGGTCATCATGGTAAAAAATATGCCTATGCACTTTCACAAGAATCAAACTATCACACACCAAATTTCATCTAAATCGGTTCAGCGGTTATTGAATCAACATACAAACTTCCAACCCCCCTTTTCACCCACTTAAAGGATGATTTCTGGGATAAACAATATTATATGCCCTTTCCCGGGACACAAACTATTTCCATACCAAATTTCATCTAAATCGGTTCAGCGGTTATTGAATCAACATACAAACTTCCAACCCCCCTTTTCACCCACTTAAAGGATGATTTCTGGGATAAACAATATCATATGCCCTTTCCCGGGACACAAACTATTTCCATACCAAATTTCATCTACATCGGTTCAGCGGTTATTGCCATACAAACTTCCAACCCTGCTTTTCACCCGCTTAAAGGATGATTTCTGGGATATAAACTATGATATCCTATAACCTATATATAAACTATATTTCCCGGGACTCAAACTATGTTTATACCAAATTTCGTATCAATCGGTTCAGCGGTTTTAAGCGTAAAGAGGTAACAGACAGACAGATAGACAAACAGACACACTTTTGCATATATAATATTAGTATGGAGTATGGATTCTCAATATGTATTTATCTACCTATACCTTTAAAAATCGGTTTTTTTTTATTTCTTCATTGTTTCTAAGGTAATGACAATAAAATCAATCGAAAAATTCGATTGAAAATTGACGTCTAATTACATTTCAATGACTGCGCATGAATTAATGAAAATGCTAGAAGCCATATTATTATTGCACATTCGTCATGACGTCATCTCGGCAGTACACAACGAAAAATGAAAGCATAATCTTTTAAATGAATTATTATCACTGTGATGATTAGTAATTAATTTAAAAAATACAGAGCGTTTTCTAAAGTAATATCTCAGTACTGTACACGGGAGGAAACATCAATTTATTTGATTTGTTGATATTTCATTGTTTACTGTCGTTATATTTTAATGCCACGGCGGTTTACATTATACGTATTAAATGTGGAAAATAAAACTAAATAATTATTTCATTTATTTTCTACTAGCTACTAGTGTGTATGTCGGTTATCGCGGTAAAACATAGCATAGTCCTTCCTCTAGAATCAAACTATCTCTATACCTAATTTCATGTAAATAGGTTTAGCGGTTTAAGCGTGAAGAGGTAACAGACAGACAGACAAACACTTTCGCATTTATAATATTAGTATGGATATGACTAGAGCATACTCTACTGATTTTTGACGTTTTCTACAAAGTGCGATATATTTTAAACTTACCTAACATCACGACGATCTCAAATCTCTCCTTTAGCATATCAGACGCCGAAAGATTGTACAATGGAGACTTTTCATTGATCTTATGCACGATGGTCATAGGCCAGATGAACATTAGCCTGTCCTCCTCCCCGTCAGCGCCGACCTTTAACTCTTGCTGATAAAACGGCAACACCTCGCCCTCTCTAGTTATCTATTTTTCAAAAAATTGTAAAATTATTACACAATAAGTATTTTTGCAATTCTTATCGTTACGTAAGTGCATAATCAGTATTTTGTGTTAATTTTGTCACGGTCTAAAACGTACTTACGTTAGTCTCCTAATAGCAAAATAGTGTAAAAAGTAATAACTGGTATTTTATGTACGTAATAGTAATTATTGAAAGAATATAGTCCCGAACAATTTTTTTTAAATTTTGCACTACCGTTACCGTATCCAATTATAGTTAATCATTTAAAATGATGCCCAAAATAATGGCGACTTGATGCATTTCAAATTGTCGTGATAAATAATACATACATTATTTTCGTAACATAACTTATGTCATTCTTATTGTTAGTAATAGCGATGCGCTCAAAGCATATAAGGTTTATAGAGAGCTTTAAAAGGGGTTCAGTACAATAACAAGTGACAGTAAGAAAATAGGGCTGGTGAATGAATATTAATTAATAATTGCTTTCAATTGGATCTGTCACGTGACTACTGAAAGTTTAATGAGCATTTTCTTTTTTTAATAATTTTACACATCTCACTCAAGGCCGTCTGATCCCAAACTAGGCAGAGCCTGTACTATGGTAATCAGACTGCTGATAAACATACTTATATATTTCTAAATACATACATAATATAGATAAATTACACAAAGACACAGAACAAATGATCGTGCTCATCACAAAATTATTTGTCCTGGGTGGGAATCGAACCCACGACCTCCGGCTTAGCAGTCAGGGCCACTAACCACTAGACCAACAGGCCTGTCAATTAATTATTAATACCAGCTAAATAATTAATATATTAATACCAGAGAGACATTTAAAAAACTTATTACGAGTAAACCCGATACACTAAATTTATCCTTTCATCCGAAGCATGAGAGTAAATACATTTAAATTTTGTTTTACTACAAAAGCTAAGCATATTATGACCAAAAAAATCGTACATATTTTTGTAATGACGTATTGTATTAGTTAAAGACTGTTACAAGGCGAGACTAAACTACAAATACAATATTCAGCAACTCTAATCCGTTGCATAGACAAAGTATATGACTCAGTATATCCAAATGATTTGATTAGTTCCAGTCAAGCCAAGTATACGTCTCAATAACCTAAACATTATTATTTACTAGTGAATCCACGTGATTCTGTACGCGTGAATACTCTACACGACGTGCTCATTGTTACTGGAAAAGATTATATGGTTTTGCACTGGCCGTGTTGTTTTTAACAGAACAGGTACTATTTATATACAATTACAATACAATTTAAATTGATCATTTCAAACTTTTATTAAATTTGTTTAATAAAAATACTGCATTTTAACAGTCAGAGTCACAAGTTTAAAACTCTAAATTTAAGCAAGAGAATATTAGTGTCAAAAATGGTGCGGTAGAAAATAATACTGAATAATCTACAGTGCGAAAGCAGATTAAGAAGAAAGTAAGGCGCAAATAAAAAAATAACATGCTATCGTCCATAGATGGGTCCTATATCAAGTAGCAAAAAAATAACTGTTTGTACAGTTTTTAATGCACAACGAAAAATAAAATACGGAATTATGTACATAGGCTTAGGTACCTTTTTCCTGATTATCTGGGCACGCACGTGTGCTTCCAAAATATGCGACTTCCGAATATCTCCGACTCTGAACAGAAGGCAAAATTCCCCGTCCCTCAGACATATTACCGCGTTTCGGGAAAACAGAAGAGTGGTGTTACGCTTTTTGGCGCGTGCCAGCTTTGCAAATATAAGACCCACCTACGGACAAGAGAGAAAAGTTTTGAAGTAACATATTCAAAACCTGGGAAATCGAAATCTGAAGAGGACTGTTGACACTTTAAAGAATCTCTGCATTCAGAGTTCGACGGCCCGCAAGTTAGAGTGTGGATTCAGTGTAAACTCTTGTTAGACGTAACTAAGCGTGCTGACTGAAATCCCCAATCACTAACCAGTCTCCATTTTTGATGAAATAATATACCTTGCGGCGGACTATTTGTGCTCTTATGTGTGCTTCGACAATATGGGATTTTCTCATGTCACCGACACGAAACATCAGACATAATTGGCCATCACGCATACAAATGACACATTTCGTTGAGTAGAGTAAAGTTTGGGTTCGCTTTTTAGGTCTAGACATTTTTGCGAATACGATGCCCACCTAAAATGAAAATAAGAAAGTTTTACCTACTTTGACGCAATAACTGTAGAGGTACAAGTTTCTTTTTGATGATTCTTCCTGAAAGTGATGTATGATCGTTTCACTCTTTGACTTAGAGGAAAACTAAAGACAGTAAATCTGACAGTCAGTTTTAATTATGAAGATATTATCCACCCAATGAATACATAACGGTTTTTAAGAGAACATCTGGCTGGATAATATTGGTAGGGACGTTACGTTACGTTTGGCAGTCTTCCAAGTTTATTTTAATATTAACTTATCATATTAGCTTCACAACTGAAAGGATTTTAAAATTTTGATGTGTTCATAACCCTTGGATATTTGCTTGTAAACTGTAGAATACAAGCTGTAATCTTTACGGAGGTGTAGTCCGCTATTTGGAAGATTTATTATTAGTGAATACTATTTGTTTATACAGAACGTATATACTTTTTCATGCCCTATAAAAGGTGTTCATAGATCTATAGAAAAATTATCAAAAAGTCTTACCATGAAAGCCTGTATGAAAACTCCAACAATACTTTGTATGCACATGACGAAAATGGCTTCAGGACATTCCTCATTGGTTGTTCTAGTTCCGTAGCCGATGGTATGTTGAGTTTCGATGGAGAAGAGGAAACAACCAGTAAACGTTTTGACTCCATTGAGACAAGGGGAGACAGTTTTGTTTTCATATGGAGATGGAGGAGTGAGGTCACCGTGTGTGAAAATGATGAGCCACCAGATGAGAGCGAACAGCAACCAGGAGAGGATAAAGGAGAGCGCGAACACGAGTAGCGTCCAGCGCCACTGTGCGTCCACGAGGGTCGTGAAGATGTCCTGAAGGTATCGGCGCCTGCGCTTGGCCACGTTCCATTGAACGACGTTGCAATCTCCATGCTTGAAAATGACACGCTTCCGGACGCGTCTTGCTGCGTAACGGGCTTGACGATATCTGTAAAAAAAAAAGAAACATCTTACAATTCCGCATCATGAATGATATATTTATTTGCAATAAATCTTAATTCTGTTTTTTCCTCCTTTTATTGGTATTTCTTGTTTTATAAACAACTTAATGACTCCGAATTTTATACTAACAGCCGCGTTCGTAAAAACGTAGTAGTAACTAATCCTTTAACTAATCCTTTACCTATTCGTAATTTGTAAATTACATGAGTGCATTGCGTCATTATTTAATTGCAAACATACTGATGATATGTACACAATTTGTACGAAATTCTTTAACAAACCACATTAATCTTTTTCAAGTGGAATCTAACACGGTAATTATAATCTGTTTTCGATTATGGCACCGTTCCCAATACGAAAACTTTTATACTAATTTTTATTGGATCATCATCACCATACTTTATTTAAGTGAGAAAATGTTTGTGTACGGAATTAGAAAATAAAACACAGTTTCGTTATTGGAGGCTTCAACCGCAGCATCAATAGTAGACAAATCGATTTCAAGCAATAACGGTAAATATTAAAAGTAGAGGCGGATATTATATTATTGTGTATTCTTGCGATATATACACACGATATATATACACACTATAGAATAAAACAAAAGGTTAATCATCAAGTCTGTTTCAAAATATTTGACACCTCATTTATTCCAGCTTAGACTTTTCCTAAACACTTATACAGAGAGATTTTTAAAATGTTTCATAAACGAATTATGTACAGATGACATGTAGTATACGTAAAATCAAAATGTATTCATGTCTTATAATAACTTATGACGATAGTGACTCTTACGGCAATCATTATTTTATGATGTAATTGTGTAGTTTTTCATCTTCTCAAAATTATTTCTTATGATTAATGAATACCCATTAAAACTACTTTTTTTTGTTATTTTCCATTGTTATTTTACTTTTCTTTGGTGTTGCCGGTTTTTTTTTATACAAAGAGCACAATATTAATAATTCAACATTGAGGGCAATACAATATGTTAATAATATCATGTTGCTTTTGTATTAGGTGCCTGCAATAAATTTACTTCAGAAAGGGAATAATACGTACTGTAAGTCTAACTTATAATTTATGAAATTAGTGGTTTAAGCGGTCGCCATGTCGCTTTTGTATTAACTGAGTGTTGTGGATTCGATCCCCATTTGGGATAACACTTTGTGTGATCCACAAATTGTTTTTCTAAGTCTGGGTATTCTTTGTGTCTGTTTCATCTATGTTTGTAAAGTCCCCCGCAACACAGGATATATTCTTAATGCGGAAGTTGTCTTTGAAAACAAAAATAAAAAAATAAGATACCATTTCTGAGATTCTGAGATAATGTCAGTTAATAAATTTACAATGTAATCGAATTGATGTGAATGAAATTACATAACAAATATTTCCATATTCGTAATTTATGATTTAAGTTCTATCCTCTATAGACCTATCTAAAAACCTATATGACAGTGCACCATTGATGAATCGTCTAAACATACATCCTGAACACCATTTGCCGACATGGTTAAAAAGGGTATCAACAATTATATATGAAATACAAGCTTGAATTCAGTGGGTATTTATCCCAATGATAAAAGCAGATCAAGCGATGACACCAAGTCATCAATACAAAAAATTATTTGACCTGAACAAATGAAGTTGCAAGTAAGAGAGCTGCGCAAAACAAAAAATGGTGGCGTCATAATCAGCATAGATACAAAGGGAGACATTGAAATACTCAACCCAGCTTATAAACTCGGGCCTTATCATTGACGACCAACACAAGAATAAGCCGTGAGTAATAATTATCGGGGTACCGAGTACTATGCAGGAAAAGAAAGATTTTACTAGCTTATACCACCAGAATCTAGCAGATAAGCTGCAGGACTGCTGCCTTGAAACGTTCCTGAGCTCAATGAGGTTAAGCCACAAGTCAGGTAAGAAAGATGCTGAGACCTGTAACTATGTTATTGAAGTATCTGCAAACATCCGAAAAGCCCTAATAAATAGAGGCAGAGTATTTGTGAACTGGTCATCTTGTCCTGTTAGAGATTTTACTCTTGAAACTCGATGTTACAAGTGCCAGCAGTATGGGCACGCGGCCAAAACGTGTCGAGAGACGTCATACATCTGTGGGCACTGCGGGGAGATAGGACTGCACCAAGAAGACGGAAGAAGCAAAATGCGCTACCTGCCTGGGCTTTAAAAAGTCGAACAATTATTTCACAGGAGCTTCTGACTGTCCAGCTAAAATCTGATGATGTCTGATGGCAGAAAAAAGATACTTGAACTCCATTGATTACGAATTCGCCTAAGAACGCATTTAACACAGACATTTGCTGACCTTTCTCTGTTTATACAGATTTAATTCATAAGTATTTTATTAATTTAATTATGCAATGTATCATTCTATACCCAAACATGAAACATAATGTTAAGCTATACCACCAAATTTTATATTATGGCAATAAAGGACACTGTATACCTCTACACAAAACTAGCACTCAAATCCACATCATACATTTGTTCATTCGCACATATTAACTAAAAACACTCTGAATACTCAATACACACAAGCTGCATGCTCCCTTTGCTAGTTTGTTATTTAGCATTAAGAATTTGTACCTATTAGGTAGCCAGAGCGAGAAACCACTGATGACACAAAACACACCTAGTTTGAGGGTCAGAGGCAACCCGCCCCTTGCCTCCTGTATATTCTTTGATGTACTTTAACTAGAAAACAGTAACTAATTTTGTAAAATTATCTGAATAAAGATTTATTATTATTATTTTGCAAATTTTAATTGTTTAACTTTTCTAATTTATTTGACTAATTTTGGAGCAGTAAAAGAACAAGATTGAAATGTGAGAACGAAAATGTTTCCACTCGTCTTATAACCCTTAATTGAACAATGCGTCGCTCTTTATTGAAAGAAATTAGTCACATAATTTCAGTTAATCAGATCACCTGACCGTCAACTTCCTCATGATAAATTTGAAATTCATAAACACGATTGTGCACTACTGTAATGTACGACAAAAATATTCAACTAACTTTGATATATGGACAAGTTTTATTATCCCGATGTTAAGTATTCCCGAGTATTTAAATGGATTGCGTCAATAAAACCACCACTTTGTATTTCTATACTACTGAGATAATTAATACGGGTGGCTTTATGGAGTTCGCATAGCACTTCAGATAGATATATTATCATAGTCCGACAGTCACATTCGCGTTAAAATAGGTACTCTTCTTATCTTTGAAAGCTTTTTATGTTAAAAGCTTTCTTTTATCTTTTAGTGGTACGTGCATAATAAATGTTATAAAAACCAAACCTACAATGATGAAAAACTGAAACTGTATATGGTAGTACATAAGTATGTATATAGCTTCAAGTCATTCAAGTCCCCTTTTTATAAGCTTTTATGAACTTCAGTTGTAACTAACTAAAAATGTAAGCAAAGCTAGTAAGTCAAATTATCATCAATCAATCGTATCGAAATGAATCTGTATTTATATGTATGTTTTTTATTTGGATGATGAAGAAGCCAGGAGATGGACAGTGGAGCTGAGAGGTGGAGTTTGAATTTCAAGATGGGCAATGTGATGAGAAGATGAATAAATATTTACTTAATTTTTCTTTTGGCAGAATCTTAAATAACGGATGTTCTTGATATTATTTGTAAACTTTCACACAATTGCTGTGAACGAGAGTTCATTTGCATCTTTTTCATCAGCCTATCTTGAAGTAAGTCTTTCCACACTACGCGTATGGGTCTACTAGAGACAAACTTGTGTGAGACAAAATGTTTTACTAATAAATTGAATTTTATGAAACTTAGAAAGCGGTCGTAAAAATTTCATGTCCGTTCGGTACTTACTTATAAGTTGTATATGACTATGATGATGCTCAGAGCATTATAATTGACCATAAACTCTATATATAATAAAAATAAGGCGTTATCAATAGAAACGGTGGAACTATATCTCTTATACTAATGATTAATGATACTGGGTTTTGAATTTTTGAAGCGTTTCTTAGAACTATCTTGGAAAATTAGCTACAGTTTAAAACTGCATTGTATGTAGTTCCTGGCAACCTTGACTCGTACCTTTGAAAAAATGCTATATAATCATATAAAATTCTTATCAAGTTTCAATATAAACCAAAAAAAATAATAATTAACACCTTAATCTTTTTACCAGATGAAAATTTCCATATATGAAAATTATAATTTGAATTATGTAGGTCAGTATAAATTTGTCAGTATTTATCACACATCACATCAACAGCCTTTATTAGTCCACTGCTGGACATATGCCTCTCCTTAGAAAGGAGGTTTTGGTCTACTATACCACGCTGGCCAGAAGGGTTAGTATAGGGTTTGTGCCACGTTTTTTTTTTTTCTTAGTCGGCTCTTACGACACCCACGGGAAGAATAGGGGTGGTGACACTCTGAATTCTTAATCCGTCACCACAAGGAACCTAGTATTGTTTGAATATTATAAAATATTATTAAATAAACTACCTGCAAAAAGCACCTGTTTATGGGTTAATATCCGCAAAATACACATAGTTTACATCTAACAATGTTATATGAAATGTTATATTGAGGGGAAATAAAATGTCTGCAAAAATGTGACGTATACTGTACTTTATTGATATTATTTGCGCAGATTGCTTTTAGTCATTCGATGTCGATACTAATTAATTATACTATCGGTCATGCACGCATTAATAGATGTTCCTCGTGATTACGATTGTATAGATTTATTCTTAGTAGGTATATGCTCGATTAGTTATTCAAATTCATGTATTTGCATACATGTGATAGTTTAGCAAAATTTCTCAATTATATTGCAAATTAATTTAAAATAACGATAAAACAAACATAACTTTTAGCGCTATAATGGTACAGAATAATTTTAAACGTGGGCTATTTCCTTAAGCTTCTTAGAAGTTTAATATTGTATGACTAACGTTAGGAAAAATT